TAGATAGTTGAAAGAAATCAGTTAATGAATACTTACTTGTGATTTGGGAAGAAAATCTCTTGAGAAAATCGCCCTAGTTCTTTTATTTTTGTGAAAGTTTGAAAGAAAAATCGCTGAAGTTATGTTTTTAAGAGACTCACTGCCCGACTTCCGCATCTGCGACTCGTGGGTCGCATCTGCGCAACCGCACGTGCGAAAAGATGACCGCTTCTGCGGATATGATTTGGCCCAATGGGGCCGCATCTGCGAGGGAGGAATCCGCTCCTGCGGAACCGCTTCTGCGGAATTTTGCTCGCATCTGCGAAGGCTGGACCGAACCTGCGATACACTTCTCGCACTTGCGAGTCCGCATCTGCGGCCCAAGAACCGAAGGTGCGGTTACACCCGAACTGGTGCAACAACAGTATTTTCCTAAGTTTAAACACCCCGGAACCTACCCGAAACTCACCCGAGCTCTCGGGGCTCCAAACCAAACATGCATACTAACCCAAAAACATTATATGAAGTCATCTGTGCGATCAAATCGCCATAATAACCTCTCAAACAACAATTAAACCTCAAAATCAATGAAATATTTCAAAACTTCTTAAACATCAACTTTTGCATTTTAGGTCCGAATAACGTCAAACAGATTTCGTTTCTTACCAAACTTCACAGAATTATCTTTAACACATATAAGACATGTACCGGGCATCGGAACTAAAATACGGGCCCGATACCAACATGTTCTGATCAAAATTCATTTCCAAGTCCTTTAAACAATTTCAGAAAATAATTTTCTTTAAAATTCATTTCTCGGGCTTGGGACCTCGGAATTCGATTCCAGGCATACGCCCAAGTCCCATATTTTCCTACGGACCCTCCGGGACCGTCACATCGCAGGTCCGGGTCCGTTTACCCAAAATATTGACCGAAGTCAAACTAATTTATTTTATAGTCAAAATTTATCATTTTCACAGATTTTTCTCATTTTAGCTTTCCGGCTACATGCCCAGACTGCACATGCAAATCGAGGTGAAGATAAAAGAGGATTTTAAGGCCTCGGAACAAAGTGTTTAATCTAAAAGCAAGTGATGACCTTTTGGTTCATCACACACACACACACACACACACACACACACACACATATATATATATAAACCAAAATGGAAAAAAAGTTATTTAATTTTTTTTAGAAATAGCGGCCAACTTTGGTCGCTTATTTGGTCAAACAGCCAAAAAATAGCGACCAACGCTGGTCGCTATTTTGGTCAAACAGTCCATGAACTTAATTAGCTACTAGAATAGCAACCAACGTGGGTCGCTTTTTCTAAATCCAGAGTCAAAAACGGGTTTCCCCCTCCCATTCTCTTATTTTCTTCCCAAAATTTCCCCAATTCTCTCTCAACACATTCCCCTCCCCTTCTCTATTTCCCTCACACAAATCAATCCCCCCACCCCGCGCCACCACTGCGACCGCCTGAGCCGCCGCTGCCGCTGCCGCTTTCTCTCCTTCTCCACCTTAAAAAAACCTAGGTTTGAATTTTAACCTTGAATCTTTGTTATTTCTAGTTTTTGTTTCAATTATTTCAATATTGTAGTTTAAAGATATGAATTAGTGTTTAAATTCTTTGAACATTGTATTTTATTGAGGATTAGGGTTTAGGTATTGTTTTAGTTAGCTTTGTTAATTAATTTTATTAACTAATTAGTTTAATTAGTGTTGAATTTAGTTTAGTTAGATTTGAATTATACTTTGTGTTGTCTTGATAGTTTAGTTAGAATCTAGGGTTTAGGATATGAGTTGAACCTTTAGGATATGAATTGAACCTTTAGGATATGAATTGGACTTTTAGTTTATGTATTGGAATTTTAGTTTATAAATTGAAATTTTAGGATATGAATTGAACTTTTGTGGATATGAGTTGAACCTTTAGGATATGAATTGAACAATTAGGATATGAATTGGACTTTTAGTTTATGTTTTGGAATTTTTAGTTTATAAATTGAAATTTTAGGATATGAATTGAACTTTTGTGGGTATGAGTCGAACCTTTAGGATATGAATTGAACCTTTAGGATATGAATTGAATCTTTAGGATATGAATTGAAAATTTTGGATTATGTATTGAAATTTTAGTTTATAAATTGAAGTTTTAGGATATGAATTGAACTTTTGTGGATATGAGTTGAACCTTTAGGATATGAATTGACATTTTTGTGTATGAATTGAAGATTTAGGATATGAGTTGATCCTTTAGGATATGCATTGGACTTTTAGTTTATGTATCGGAATTTTAGTTTATAAATTGAAATTTTAGGGTATGAATTGAACTTTTGTGGATATGAGTTGAACCTTTAGGATATGAATCGAACCTTTAGGATATGAATTGGACTTTTAGTTTATGTATTGGAATTTTAGTTTATAAATTGAAATTTTAGGATATGAATTGAACTTTTGTGGGTATGATTTGAACCTTTAGGATATGAATTGAATTTTTGTATATGAATTGAACATTTAGGATATGAATTGAACCTTTAGGATATGAATTGAAATTTTTTTGTATGAATTGAACTTTTAGGATATGAATTGAGCCTTTAGGATATGAATTGAACTTTTGTGGATATGAATTGGACTTTTGTGGATATGAATTGAAAT